AGAGAGAGAGAGAGAGAGACAGATTAAAGGGGGGATTAAATTGATTTCGTTCAATGAATTTAACTTAAAGATTATTTTTTGTTTTCAATCGACTGCAATCCTTTTTTTTTCTTTTTCTAATCTACGATGATAAAATCGAAATCAACACACAGGGATACGATCAAATACGAAAAGAAGAGAAAGATTGAGGGGGGTGACGGGGGGGGGAGGGTAGGTTTAAAGGGTTAAAGAATTTTGTTGTTCAATCAATCGCAATGCTTTTTTTTTTTTCTTTTCTTTTCTTTTCTACGTTGACAAATTGATTAAAAGTGGAATACGAATAAGAGAAAGATAGAAAGATAGAGATAGATAGATAAAGAGAGAGATAGAAATACAGAGAGAAATACAGAGCAGGGAAAATGTATATAAGGCAACAACAGTTAATATATATATATATATATATAGAAAGAGAGAGAGAGAGAGAATAATACAACGTCATATATAATATATAATACATAATATCGATCGTGTCTATAACATAAGATAACAAATATACGAAGATCTCGAAGCACAAATTGGCGAAAATGCTAGGATTATTAATTTGGGAATTAATTTTAAAAAAAGGGAAACGATAAATAAAGGTTCACGTCTATTTCTATAATAATAATAATATTATATAATATATATATATTATTAATTATATTATATATATTATTATATATTATATTATATGTAGTAATATAATATCGGGAAGCCTATACCGAGTTTTGAAAAACACTCTCTTTCTCCTATTTGATTTATTCGCATAAACTGGGCAAACTTTTCATCCTTTATCTTTTCCCTTATCTTATCTACTTTTTTTTGTTTTTTTTTTTTTGTATCATTGTAAAAGAGAACGATTTATATTTATTACCAATGAATAATAATTTGTCACAATTCGCAAAGAGAAAGAGAGCGTATGCGTATTGAGACAACACCTAGCATTACCATGAATTTTTTTTTTTTTTTTTTTTTTTTTTTTCATTTTTTTTACATTGTCATAAACGGTACGTTGATACAGACACAGATAAAACGGCATTGCAAAACATCGAGGCTTTTTAACACGCGAAACAAATTTTGTAGAGATACACAGAGGATAAATAAAATGGAAGAGAATAATACAGGGGGTTGATATATTATTACTTTGTTACGAGTAACTAGCGCAACTTTTATTTTTTTTTACTTATCTTTTTTTCAATATTCAACTTAGACATTAAAAAAAAAAAAAAAAAGAAACAAGAAAAACGCGATTGCACTGCTACGTTTTTTTTCTTCTTGTTGTTGTTCTTGTTGTTGGTCCAATCCGACAAAAATGGGACACGAGTTATTGTTAAAAGTAAAAATATAAAATAAAATAAAATAAAAATTTTCGTACGTGTAGAAGGGTGGTTATTTGAAAAAATTATTAAACAATATTCTCGTGCAAATAGTCGAATCCTTTTTTTTTATTTTTACAAAGGGCCTACCTCCCCTTTCCTAGTTAGGTTCGAGTTTATCAATGAAAGTACAACACTGGACACACTTGAACAAATGAACCATTTGATTTTTATTGATTACGAAAAATAATTCTATATTTCGAGATCAAATGAAATCAAATGAAAATGATGAAAGCGGGGGGAAGAAAATAAAAAGAAAATTATACACCTCGTTGTTTTCATTTGTCTCAGATCATTCTCAACCTGGTCGATCGTAAATATTTCTTCCAAAAAAAAAAAAAAAAAAAAAAAAAAAAAATAGGAAGTAAACGATGGTCAATCGAAATTGGGTAAAAACCCATGTGTGAGAAAATTCGATAGATATATATTAATAATAGAAAAAGATAGCATGAAATTGACAGACACAGAATAAACTTTAGGGGGGAAAGTAAAGGGTTTGAAAAAGATGGGTTATGGGAAAGGGTATATATATGTGATTATGCGAATCCTAGACCTAGATCGAGATTGAATTAATTTCCTAATTTATTATTAGGAAAAAAAAATCAAATATATGAAATCTAGTATTTATATAATATATACTGAAAAAAAAGGAATAAATGAATGGTGTTTTTTTTTATTTTTTTTTATGGGATATGATCGTGTTACCTCTCCTTCCGCTCTCTTCTTCTCGAGTTCCTTCTGCTTTGCATGTTCCTCGGCGATGCGAGCCTCGATCGCTGTCAGGGACTCCCGCGTGAACGGACGGAACAAACTTCTTTCTTCCTCTGTTATAGAGTCAGACTCTTCGGACATTGTCTAGGCTACGCACAGCTTCCTGCCACCTTCCTGCAGGTAGATTAATATTAATAATAACGAATAACGAGATAATTACTATGACAATTCATAAACAATTCTAAAATTTAATAGCTGACAATTAAATAATAAATGATCATGTGCATATAAATCATACTTCAAATAATAATTAGAAAATATTTAGAAAATTTATAATTTTATTAATAATAATTAATATTTTCTTGTAAGGGGATTATTAACGAAATAAGAGAATAAAATTATTTTGTTTTAATTGTAATGTGTGACAAAGAGAAATTTGAATAAGCATAGATGAGACAGTGATTGTTTATTTAAATACTGTTCAATTTAGATTACTCACTTTTGATCGGTGCTAACAGTTCCTGAAGTGTCGTGTGTGCTCGTCCCACGCAAATGCAGGAGAAGAGTAATAATAATAAAGAGTCGATTGATGCTGTTGCTTTTGCTGCTGTTTCTGCTGCTGCTGCTGCTGCTGCTCTTGTTGTTGTTGTTGCTGTTGCTTCTGTTGCTGACAATTGTCTTGATTCCAGGGCCGGTGATTCCTCAGCGTCGATTCGTCGGAACACCTCCTCGTCCCGTAGATAAGATTATACGACGCCGTTACGTTTAATCGGACGGATAAAAACGCACCTTTTTGCAGCACTGAATTTAATAAGACTGCCGGCAATTTATCGGCAATCGGATTCTCGCACTTACAGCGAAATTTCCCTCTAATCTCTTTAATTATTTTCACGATAATATCGATGCACTTCTTGTTACTTGTTTTCTTACGAAACTCGTTACCACTCTTGTTGTTACTGTTGTTACTGTGACTGTTACTGGTAGTGGTGGTGGTGTTGGTGGTAGTGTTGGTAATGCAAATATCGTTTCTTCTTCTTTTGCTGCTACTGGTACTGCTGTTACCGTTGCTGCTTCTGCTTCTGCTGCTGCTGATGTTGCTGTTACTGTTACTTTTACTTTTGCTACTGCTGCTGATACTACCTGAATCTCGTTCCGACGAAATGGCCACGAGAAATGACGAACGCGCTGCAGCAGTGCGTGCTATGTCGGGGACCGTCCAACGCGAACCAAGATTTTTCATGTCCGACCTGTATATTATAATCAACTAATTTATTTCATTTATTTATTTATTTATTCATTTTGGATTATTCAATGGGGAAACTATTATTGTGTTTATTATTTGTACGCCATGTGACTATCAATGTTACGAAAGTTCTACTCGAAAAGTTAGTTTGAAGTTCTTGAGTCTAATCTTTCTCCGAAGACGTTCACCTATACATTAACATAAAATATAGCAAAATACACGTACATATATGTGTATATATAGATAGATAGATAGATATATGAATTATTCAAAAGGTAATGCAGTTAAATTCAGATAAATAAAACTAAAGAACATATTAATGTTTTACTAATACAAATTGGTTTGAAATATTTATGATATTTAAATTTGATCCAAAAAAACAATATATATAATATATATTTATATTATATATTATATAGTATAATATATTTATATTATATATTTATATTTTATATTATAAAGTATATGTTTTTTTGTTTTTCCTATTTGAAAAAGTAGACTTGCATTGGCTAACATTGGCTTCTTAAATTCGATTGGAAATTTGGAATTAGAATCGATTAGATTGTTCGTGTGTTGATTTTTAAATCCAAATAAATTGTCAACTCGTTGTTGTTGTTTTTTTTTCTTTCTCGAAATCAATTTGAATAACAACGAAGCCGAAATAGCATGGCGAAAGTTAGCGTATGGCGATGTTAACGAAACACGTTCGGTGCTTGGAAACATTGATTTTCCCGCGAAACCCACTGAGAGAGAAAGAAAGAGAAGGAAAGAAAGAAAGAGAGAGAAAGAGAAACTGCAGTCTCGTGAGTCTCGCTAACGAACTTTTTTCATTAATATTCGGTCGGGATAAGCTAAAGAGAATATTTCTGCCGTGATCATCATAACGACCGTTTCATTTATATATTTCAACATTAAAAAAGAAAAAGAAGAAGAAAAAAAAAAAGAGAAAATATATACAACAGACCCTTGGTATAAATAAAATTGAAATAATTCGATATTTTCCAATACCAATTTTTTACACGATAAATACGTGTGTGTGTGTGTGTATGCATATTTATATACACGTAAGAAAAATAATTTCGATCGATTTTTATCGGCACACGACGATAGATACGTGTTGGTGTTTTTTTTCTTTCCCTCATTTTTTTTTTTTTTTCTGTCCTACCAATTATTTTTTTTTTTTTTTCTCTTTTTTTTTTTTTTGCAAATGTATATACTCACGTGTGAATGAAGCGACGGGTGCGATCAATCCGTTATCCGAAATAACATAGTCTGCTCTTCGTGTCGGTCGATCCTTATCTGCAACAGAAACGAGGACAGTGGGTTAAAATGCTGACACACCCCGTTCCTCCCGGATACGTCCGCATCTAACGGCCATCTTTCTCCCGCGCGAATCGTCAATTATTTTTTTTACTATTTTCAAAACCACGCGGTTCACTTTGATCTTATTTTTCTTCTTCTTCTACTTCTTCTTTTTTTTTCTAACTCGATAGGAAATTTTTCTTCCTTTACAAATTCCAATTTGTATCTTACTTTGTATCGTTTAATTGTTATATTATTTTTGTACCTCCCTTCCCCCTGCCATTCGATTTAAATTGAATGATTGTCTCTCTCTCTGAAACAATTGTTTTAATTTTCATTATTCCTATGCATTTTCTCGTTTATTTGCGACTCTAATCTTTCGCAATCGCAAAATAAATTGAATTAACTTTTTGTTTGTCTTCTTCTTCTTATTCTTTTCGATGGTCGTGTTACAAATATAAATTGATAGAAAAAGAAAACGAGAAACTTTAATTATTGCATTGACGTTTATAATTCTTTTGGTATATAAATAAAAAAAAATAAAATAAAATAAAGAAAAAAGTTGGGGTAAGCGTGAAATGGAATAAAAAATTGTGCACGTTAGCGAGAAATGGAACGAAAAAAAAGAAGAAGAAGAAAAAAAACGTCATGATTAATTATCAAGGCAAGAGAGAGAAGTGTTTCGTTCGATTTGTCATGCAAACGGTAGAACAAATAATTGCCTTCTTTACCGTGTCGCTCGATACCATTCAAGAATCATGGAAACTTTTCTACTTTCGCAAAAGTAGCATGAAACGAACGAACGAACGAACCGTTCCCATGTTTACCGAGCAAGCAATACAGTAGAATCTCGATCGTTCATGTTAATGGCAAAGGTAGCTAATCGGATAATCCACTTTTCTGATAAACTTTCTTCCTTATTTCACGATAGGAGTTGATAACAAAAAAAAATAAAAAAAATACTCTTCGATATGATTTTTTAAGAACGAACCACGTAAAAGAAATTAACTTTTATTACCAAAAAAAAAGAAATCCCATAGATAAAATATTTCATTTCTATTTTATCTTCTTATATTTTTTTTTTTTACTAATTTTCATGTGGTGTATTGTAGTATTATCAATAATAATATTTTAATCGCGTATTTTGAATGTGTTTTTTTGGTGGGTTGTTTGCGTTGGTAAAACAAAAGAAATAAAAAAGAAAAAAAAAATAAAGAAAAAAATTATGTTATTCGCGACGCGCAAGAAAGGGTTGTTCTAGATTAAAAACTTGACGACCTTGTGCATTCAGGCGACCCACTTGGGCACGACGAACAGGTACCTACAACCGCATTAACATAGAATCGACTGTCCACGAGGGTAAACCATCTATTACAGGTGCATCGTCAACACACCTTTGCAATTCCCCTATCTATCTAAACGTTTCGATGAATCTAACAATATACAGAATAATAGAAAAAATAAAACCAACATTATATTATATATATATATATGTATTTTAAGATATATGATTATCATCAACACCATTCGAATAGAAAACAAACAAAAAAACAAATTACTTATATAAAAAATAATTCTTTTTCAAATTAATTAAATTCAAATGGAACATTGATCATACAAACTATCAAATTAAAATTCTACGTTAATTCAGTCAATGTTTTTCCATTCGTTTTATTTGTTAATGTCATAATGAATAATTGTAGAAAAAAAAAATTACAGAAAAGTAGGTCGTCAAGATGAAGAAGAAAAAGTAATCATTTCGATCATAATAATTTCGATTTAAAATACATATACATATATATATATATATATCTTGTTTTAACCCATAGAAAAATAAAAAGATAAATATGGAAAGAAAGTAATGGTGGTAAGTCTCGAACACGAGCTAGTCGAGGTAAGGTGTCGGTGGTCTTTGACCGAGTTTCACGCGGTCGATCATATTCCGAACGAAACTCGGTCACACGTTTATGCATCGGCATCGTCCTCGTCCTCGTCCTCGTCCTCATCCTCATCGTCGTCGTCGTAGTCGTCGTTGTAGTCGTTGTTGGTGACGATGGCGGCGTCCCGGCGCCAAAGAAAATCCCACAACGACACGAATACTACCCTCAACTTACCCCTGAACCTACCCTTAAACGTTCCCCTTCTATGCAACACCGTAGAAAAAAAATGAAAACTTAAAAAAAATAGATGAAACAATAGGAAAAGGTTTTTCTATTCAATATAAAACGAAAACACACGATTGGTTACGAATTATACTACTACTATTTACTGTCAAACACATACATCTTTCATCTTCAACTTCACCCTTTTTACTACCCCCTGTTTTCTTCATATTACTACTTTTATTACTACTACTAGTATTATTATTACTAATACAGCAACAGCAGCAGCCTTCTCATCGCGTCTTCCTCTTCCTCTTCCTCTTCCTCTTCCTCTTCCTCTTCCTTTTCCTCTCCCTCTCCTGTCCACAACTCTGGACGCCTTTTAATTTGATTACTAATCCAATTAGAGTGACATACTCCTAGCTAAGGGAAGAACCACGGCACGAGTACCCTTTCGCCCAGGGACCCATCGTCTTTGTTTTTAAGTCGTAGTCGTTGCTTGTAAAAATATTTCCAAAAAGTGTTTCTCCTTATTCGTTTTACGCCTATTTATTTTTTTTTTTCATCCGTATCTTTCTTTCTTTCTTTCTTTTTTTTTTTTTTCTCACTTTGCACCCTCTCGTACTTTTTTATTTTTTATTTTATATTTCTTTATGATAATGTAGAATTACGAATGAAATTACGAGAGACCTACTACTCGTTAAATAATATAATAATAAACTTTGAAGTAAATAAAAATAGCAACATCACTTATGTTATATTATACAAAGAATATTTGAATAATAATATTATATTAAAACAATTTTGTTCGAAATGTAAAAATCATTCTTTGTTATTTCGATATTTTAATCGGATCGCGTTACGTGTTATATACACACGTAAATTAATTTTAATATTGAATATAATACATTTTTTAAGTAGAAAATTACAAAAAAGAAATAACAAATGCAACTAATTTAAGACTGATCTTTATCCCCGAGGGAATTACAAAATTTCAATCCTTGTTTCTTTATCCTGTATTTTTTTTTCTTCATTTTTATTCGACTATCTCGAAGAGGATGAGAGATGAAACTCTCTTTCGTATATAGAAGAAAGAAAATATAATAGAAAAAAGAAAAATAAAAATGGGGAGAAAAAAGTAATAAGAAAATCGAGAATGTGCGGGCGTGTGTGCATATATACATATACGTGTCTATGCACACACACACACATACACACACACGTATAATACGTTGCGACGGAAAAAGGAGGTCGCTTGAGGTAGCAAACTAGCGAGCCACGCGTTTACGATCGAATAGGTATATAAGTATAACATAGCTTAAATATATATATATATATATACCTTTTCACATATGTAGGTAACTTTAAATAAGTTCGAATACTTTGATGGAAAATGATTTAACGAATTTCTGTACGCATCAGATGTTGTGAACAATGAAAATGGGAAGAAAAAAGATTACGCATCGAAAATAATTTCCTATCATTGTACAAACATGTAGACATACGTGTATACATACACAGATCATATATATATATATATATATATATATATAGATATAAATAAATATATATGTATATACTTATATAGTACTCTATAAATGTCTTTAGAAAATATTTTATAGAGAAATGCTTTTAAGTACGTTTGCCAGTTTCAATTGTAGACGCGATCGATAAACCGTAAAGACACACACATACACATATGTATATATACATACCAGCATGCATAGATATACATACATATATATATAGATATGTATAAAATCACGATAAATTTCAAGAGAATAATTTGATGTAAAAAAAACTCGAAGAAGTTTCATATAAAAAAAAAAAGAGTCACATAATTACAAAACTCTCATCAAAATTAACAACGATATTCCAAAGGTAAAGATTCTAAATTAATTATTTATTTGTTTATTTTATCTTAAATATATTATATCTAACAAAAATATTGTTCAATATAGAAAAAATAACGTGTTACTCTTTTTTTTAAGGGTTTAATAAAATTTAGTTAGACAAAACTATCGAAAAGAGTTTGGCATTAGGATTAATAATATGGGGGATGATGAGGAGGAGGGGGATGGAAGGGGGTATTCCCCAGTGACCTGTGACCGCCATCTTGGAATGGATGGAAAGCAGAACGGACGGTGGCTCCACTGGAAACCACCGGTGAAGAAAATCTATCCCCTTTCCCCTCATCTTCTCTCTCTCTCTCTCTCTCTCTCTCTTTCTTTCTCGAATGATATGGCGCGGCGGCGGCTCGACGCCGACGCCGACGTCGCATGACGTCACGAATCAGGCCGGGTACGTTGCGGAAAAACGTTGCCATGACGACGAACCACTGACGCTACCGTCCCCCCTCCTCCTACTTTCTTCCACCCCCTTACTTCTACTCTTCCTCTTTCATCGTTGTACAAGTAAAACCATCACTACTACTACTACCACCCACCACCACCACCATTACTACTACAAACCACCATTACTATTCATATGTCTCGACGTTACGTCTAATCTCTCTTATCGAGAATTTTCAATGACGAAGGAAGGGAAAGGGTAGAGAAGGGAAAAGGGTTGGAAAGGGTCCCTCATGTTGAAAAAATATGTATCATCTTGTCGTTGATCGATTATGTTTTTTTTTTGTCAAAAGTATATCCCTTTTTCTTTTAAACTGAAAGATTGAGAGAGAGAGAGAAAGGGGGGGGGAGAGAAAAATTAATGTAAGTTATATATGTAAGGGATGAAATAATAGAAAGAATTTGTTCATAGGTAATATTAATTCATGTGACACGTGAAATACTTTTGATCGATCTAATATATATATATATATATATATATATATATATATATATTGTATATTATAAAGAAAGAAAGAGAGAAAGAATGATAGTGAAGAGAGGGGGTGGGGAGAGGAAGTGGTAATGCATTCTGATCGTGGTTACTGTTAATTGTCCGACACGAAATTGACTTGTACTACTTAGACAACGTTATTCGTGACGAATCGTACGATATTTTTCCCCTTTTTCATGCCTTGCTTTTTTTTATTCAATATAATTTACTTTTTTTTTTTCTCTCTCTCTCTATGGATTATTATAACATATTTACGAGAATGATAAGTATTTCAGAAAGCTATGATAAAAAAGAAATAAAAAAAACATTACGAATATTATGTCATTTCTATAAAACATCCCTTAATGTTTCTGTGTTCTTTGAGCGAACCAACCAACTAACCAACTGACCTCCAATCCTATTATAATCCATGCCTGGTTTCACTGATATAATTCTGATTAGAATTTCAACGTTTACGAGATTATAATGTTGCATATGCAACATTTAACGTTTTACCGAAAATAGGAAAAGAGATTATTTACAATCCCTGGTTCGTGGTTTATAACAATGATATTCGTTGTGTCCGACATAACACGAATTAAAACCGATCTAGCCCCTTCCCCCACCACAATCCACTCCACCTCACCCCACTTGACGCATTGCTGAAATCTACCAATCGTTGCAACCAAATCTATATTGTCAAACAAACAAACACAAACGAGAAAAGAAATATTAAATATAATTATAAAATATTTACATATATTCTCGTCGCGATGGTGTATATATATTTAATTCGATTGTAAAAATAATGAAAATATATATTTAACACGCAAAAATATATAATATGTAAATTTATAATCATATTCATTTTCAATATGAAATTGTTTTAATCGATCTTTATATGTAAACTCTCTAATCACCGATAAAATTTGCATTAAATTTATTTAACAATACATATATAAACGTAACAAAAACAATAGCGATAAATAAAAGAAAATCTAGTTATATTATGATGATCGATTATTAAATGAATAAAAGCAAATCGAGATAGAGAACAACACAACAGAAAACAATTAAGATTTGTTCGAGTGTGTAAAAGGGGGAAAAAAACTTATTGAGAAGATTAGCCTAGTTTGAAGTGTATAGTCGAAATCGCGTAAGTTCTTTTTTCTTTTCTTTTCTTTTCTATTCTATTCTTTTTGGTGGAAGGAGGGGAGGGGGTGGTTCTTTTTCGTACGTGAATAATCGATCGCGTTAATTCTCTCTTATTCGTTCGAAAAGTACATGAGTACTCGTCCCGGTACACTTGTACTCAAAAGTCAGTACCAAAGCAAGCATGGATAACACCTGTTGCTCCCCTTCGTTTGTTCCTTCATTCCATCGTCCATCCATCCATCCGTCCATCCATCCGTCCATAACTTTGTCCTTTCATGGTTGGCCCTTTAAACCCACCCCTCAACCCAACTACCATACAAACAATTCTTACTTCCAGACCCTTCTTATTTGTTTCCTAACCTTTGTCACGAGAAACCCCCATTAATTCTGATCATTGTAACGAGAGAAATAAAAGGAATGGAAAAAATATTAGGGGACGAGTAAAATGAAAATGAAATTGGTTGACAAGTTGTAGTACATTAATCGTATGGGATTATAAATGTAATGTGATTGATAGATAGAAACTATAATGTAAATCGATTCCCTTTAATTATTGTTTTTGTTATAAAGGGTATATATAATAATAATTCAAGAATAATTATATAATTATTGAAGAATCAAAAAAGAAAATATAATATACGTGTATTATTTTCGAGGTTGTGTTAAATAGAAAAAATACGATAAAGAGGAGGAAAAGGAAGAGGAGGAAGAAGAAGAAGAAGATTGGAAAGGAATATTCGAGTCAGTGGAACACAGGCAACGAGCCAAATCCTTTGCACTGCCAACGTCAAATCCCCCGTAAGCTTTTTTTTCTTTTTTCTTATCTACTTAATCAAGGAGCAAACGAATAAAACAAATATATGATTAAAAATGGACAAACGTTTAACCCGATTTAATATTATGACGATTAAATTAAATTATGCGAAATTAATGAATGCAACTTGTATCAATAATTCCCGTCATTCATATTAATATATTTTTGTAAATCATTAAAATAAACTATAACACAATGGACATTGAATTGATTTATATATATATATACACGTAAGATCTATAAATATATTCACATCAACGTGTGGATAAAAAGAATGAATTGGAAGATACGTTCGTACGTCATAGTTAAAGGGAGGATGATGTTCGTGCGAGAGTTTCTTCAGGACAACCAGGACTGGCGTAAATCGGTCCTCGCGACCTTTGACATTACGTGCGAACAAACGATCATTTATTTACCAAAGAGGATAAATTTACTAACTTCTGCGAATAAAAAATAGTCACCGTAAAGAAAGAGAGAGACACACGTATATACATAAACGCATGCAGAAAGAGACTAATACATAGTATGTGTATAATATAAAATTGATTTTTACTTAAACCTGATTTCAATAATACACGAACGACTCTCCCCTTAAAAAATAAATTATCTATGCATGTCTATCGTTATTTCACGTAAGAGAAATATAACGAGTATAACAAAAGGGAATTTTTAAGTAGTATAGGTCGACCATTAAACGCACGGCTCCAATGCGACATCGACATGCACACACGTTCTACTTAAAAACAAAAAAGTATCTAACAAAAAATTAAATCTTCAATGTGATAATAAATGTTTAATCACAATGTTACCATGATTGTTGGTAAATAATTGTTTATAAAAATATGATAATAATCGTACGAGTATATATTGTTAAGTACATGCAATAGATTCTATCCGTCAAGAGGAGGGAGGAGTGGACAATGAAATTGATGAACTTTCGCAAAAAAAGAAGAAATAGAAAGAGAAAGAGAGAGGATGGGAGAGAAGGGGAGAGAAAGAGACAGGCACACGTTATGGTATCACGCCTCTTATTCTCTTGGAAACTTTCCAAAACAAGCTCGTCGAATCGGTAACTCGGTCGCATTTAAAAAAAACGCGTGTCCTTCCTATATAATATATTATCTGAAAATAATCCTTAAATAAAAAGATAAGAGAAAGAGAGAGAATAAATAATCGAATATTCCGATTGAAACGTGTCCGAGAATTGTGTTTTCAGAGTTATACGGAAAACCCTTAGAGAAAGAAGAAAAAAAAGATCCTCGAGAACGGTCTGGACTTCGTCGTAGTCTGTTGGAAAGAGAGAGAAAAAGATAGAGAGAAATGTGAAGAGAAATAAAGAGAGAGAAAGAGAGAGAGAGAGAAAGAGAGAGAGAGGTGGGTGATCGATATCGTCGTCGTTAGACGTTCAAGCAAATCGTGCACGGTCCGTATCGATCGTGCAATTTTCGCGCGAAGGAAGGTCACCGAGAGCGAGAAACGAGCACGCAACTTGCGCGTATAATATTCGCTTGGGAAGTCATTTTTTTATTTTCATAAAAAGAAAGAAAGACAGAGAGAGAGAGGGAGAAAAATAAATTAAATGAATACTAAAAAGTATATCGGGAAATGAAAATAAACATTTTCGTGCTACGATTGTATAGAAGAAGAAAAATATTAAAAAAAAAGAAACTAATGTTTGTTCGATCTGGTAAGCTTCAACATTAAAGTCGATCGATATATCGCAGTGTCTCTTTTACGCGAGTGGCGCCTCATGCGATTCGATCGCGCGGGTTCTACTCGAATAAAAAGATGACTTTCTTTTTTCCACTTCTCTCTTTCTTTCTCTCTTGTGTTTCTCAAACAGGCGTGCTCTTCTTCGAAGAGTCATGCTTTTTTCATAGAACCCTTTTCCATCTCTTTCTCTCGGTTTTTCCTTTCCAAATGTTCGTCTGTTTTTCTTTTATTTCATTTCATTATTTAAACACACCTATTTTTGCACGAGAAACACAAAGCTAAAAAAACCAGAGAAATATGTGTGACCGTAGTAACACGAAGAAGTAGTAGAAGAAGAAGAAGGTTGCCACCGTGTTACTTAAAAGTAGTATAGAGTGGCATAATGTCGCCACTGTCGCAAGGAGAACAGCCGCGCCGCCCTACACCACGCGGCTTGACTACTTCCCCTTACTGAGTCTGACCACACTTGGACGCTACTACTTCAAGTGGTAGAATCAATGACTGAGGGGTTTGCATGCAGATGGGATTTACACGCATCCAATAGACAAATATACAAGATTTCTAACTAACATTAGATAGATAGATAGAGAGAGAGAGAGAGAGAGAGAGAGACATTTAAATGGCACACTTACGATCGGAAGATTATTAGCCCTTTTTTTTCATCCCTTCTTTCTTTTTTTTTATCGAAAATTATAATATATACGTACGAGTATATATATATATATCTATGTATGTATGTATGTCATGAGAGAGAGAAAGAGAGAGAGAAAAGAAATAGATATGCACGTACACGCACAACGTGGACAAATATAAATATGCACACTGCGGATATCGTGCGTTCCCTTTTTTTTATTCTTTCATATATACCCCTATACTCTCTCTCTTTTTCTTTATCTTTTTCTCTCTTCTTTTTCTTGCTCTCGTTTCCTCTGGCAGAGAAAAATAAATGCGATATAGTTAAAGCACAGAACCAAATTACGACGATGCACTAAAAACCTTTTTCTTTCTATCTCTTATAAATTCTCACTGACACACTGTAAACTTCCTAACTAAGTTCTCTTTCTAATAATTTCCTATCACCTCAATCTCTTCTTTCAATATTCCTTCCCCACTTTATATATATATATATTATATTTCGCATTTAAAATGCAATTTTTGTAAATGCATTTCTCTTTACGTACCGACTTTGGCTTTAGGGTTACACTGTCTTCCTCTGTTTCCTCCCCCAAGCACACTCTTGTACTCCTACTTGCACCTCCTCTTCCTCTTCTTCCTCTTCTTTTTCTTCTTCTTCTTCTTCTTCTTCTTTTCCAACAAATCCTCCTCTTCCTCCTCTTCCAATTCCTTCAAGAGCTCCGTTCTTTTTCCTCTGTGTTCAGGACAGCGGCAAGAAGGACCCGCCCCGTGTTGCGCTACACGAACGTGTAATGAATGAACAGTGCGTAAAACTTGCTCTGCGACAACATCATTCGGCCTGCCGTTATCGGTAACACTTTGGCAGGAGCCACGCCGTCGTCATTTTTGATTAATTTAACCGTTGTTTCGCGATAATACCGTAATAAACGGGCGCGCGCGAGCGTCCCAACCAACCAGCCGGAATTGATCGCGCGTTGCTGCGCGCGATAGTGGTGGTGGTACTGCTGGTAATAGTAGTAGTAGTAGTAGTGCTGCTGCTGCTGGTAATAGTAGTGGTGATGGTGGTCCCTTTTTCTTTATTTCTTTCTTTGATTTCGAGGACGAAAAGAAAATGATAGAAGAAGAGGCCCGCTAGCCTCGACGTCGTCGTCGAGGACGACGACGGTTGGACGACGACGACGATGGCAGCAGGACGTTGTGGTGGTAGTGGTGCCGATGTGACAAAATAATAAGTTCCTTTGTAGTAGTAGTAGTAGGGTCGACGACGATTACGTGCTTATGACGAAGACGTTGCTGCTGCTGCTGTGATGGTGGTGGTGGTGGTGGTGATGGCGGTGATGTGTAGGTGATGGAGATTCGTAGTATTAGTGATAATAGTGGTGGTGGTACTGCTGCTGTTGCTGCTGCTGCTATTGGTGGTGGTGGTGGTGGTGGTAGTGATTGTGTTAATGATGCCGCTGCTGGTGGCCGCGCCGACGAGGATCGCACCGAGGATCGCGACGAGGATCGCGACGAGGATCGCAACGAGGATCGCAACGAGGATCGCAACGAGGATCGCACCGAGGACGACAAGGGCGAAGGGTGGTGGGAGCGAAGGGTAGGACGCGCGGTTCGCCCGCTCTAGCCGCACTGCCCTACGTCAGACCGTCTCCTCCGTCGGACCTCCTCCTCCTTCTCCTCCACCTCCTCTCCTTCTCTCCTCCACTTGTTCCACCTCCACCTCTTCCACCACTTCCTCCTCCGCCTCCTCCACCGCCGCCGCCGCCTTCGCCGCCTTCTCCCCCTCCACCACTCGCACCCTTCTCCGATACACTTTTTATTTTCTCTAGACCGAAGTTTCCTTCATAAACGACGACGACGACGAGGACGCACCGATGCTGCTGCTGCTGCTGCTCTCCCTTTGACTCCTTTTCCTTCCTCTTGCACCCCCGCCTCCTTCTATTTGATTCTATCCGGCACATACACGGGCGCGCGCGCGCGCGCTACCTCTATCAACCCTCTCCTTCTCGCACCCTCCCACCCTTATCTATCTATCTTAACTAATTCTTTCTTTTTTTTATATTTCTCTCTCTCTTCTTTTTTGTTTCTACGTTAATCTTGTATTATTCTTCCTCCTCCTCCTCCTCCTTCTCCTCCTCCTCCTCGACCAGCTCCTCCCCGTAATTTAACACAAATACAAAAACGTTCGTCGCTGCTGGTTATCCTTGTTTGTTCGTTCGTTCTTCTTCTTCTTCCCTTTTCTATGTTCAATCGTTCGTTTCTTCTCTCACACCTCTCTCTTTCTCTTTCTCTCTCTCTTTTTGATCTTCCTATCACCCCCCTCTCTCTCTCTCACTCTCTCTCTCTCTCTCTCCACACCACTTGTTTTCGCGACGACGAAAAGCTCGTTCCGGGAGGACTGTCGCGGCACAGACGAAACCAGCGACGCGGACGTTACTGCATCGCCACGCGCCAAACTCGCGCAGCGGATACCACGAGAACTAGTTTCTCGTGGTCGCTACCCCTCTTACTCCCTTCCAATTCCACCCTTTTATAGCCGCACCGTTCGCAACAACCCCCTTCTTCAAACTCGACAACTACCACCACCTACCCTTCCCTGCCTGCCTGCCTGCCTGCCTACCTGCGCTGAGATCTGCTGCTGCTGCTGCTGCTGTTGCTGCTGTTCGAGCTTTTCCAAATCCTCAAAAGCTTTTACCCTTATCTCTCTCTCTCTTTCTCTTTCTCTCATACGCATTCACACTTAATGCTATTACGCATACACAACTTTCCCTTCAATCTTACCAAGCAAATATTCCTCGTGGCCTAGGTTTCCTTCTTCTTCTTCTTCTGCTTCTTTCTATTTCAATTCGGACTTATCACCAAATTTATTCTATTTGTTGTTAACCGATGAAACAAGTAATCGAAGGAAAGGGCGCATCGATACCTCCTCAATGGAGAACTTCAATGAACCAACCGGTGGTGTGCGTCAGCAACTGCTGACCAGCCCCTACGCGTTATGTAAATGATCGATCCTATTTGATAATGTGTCTTTATTATAATTTGTATTAACGCAAGAATATATTGAAAGAGTTAGGTTCTTTTTTTTTTTCTTTTTTTTTTTTTCAAATCAGTCGATTAGATAAAATCATTAATTGATTGATCATGCTCAAAACCTACCCCTCTCCTTCTTTTTTACTATACCACCATGTTTGTGATTTTCCCTCTCTCTATCTTTCCCCCTCTCCCTCTCCCTCTCTCTTTCTTCCTTTTTCACCCTTCAGGATACGTAAGCTCTCGAGCTGTTCACTTCCGTAATACGACGGATCAATGAATGTGTACCCCACCAAACGACAATCCTCACTTCACCTCACCTCTCCTCACCTCACCCACCACCCACCCACCCCTTCCACGAAGCCGGTGGCATCGAGAAACACGGTACCACACCGCGCCACTCTTACTACCTTTACCTGAAAACATTCGGCAAGGATTTTCATACCGTCCTCCTACCATACCCCGGACGTGTTAGTAAGCTCGTCCGCCAACAACCTCCACTCATGTCACCAAGATATCATATGTATGATTCAAAGAAGAAGAAGAAGACACTTCAACGCGATACTCCTAGGGATCTTCTCTAACTTCACCATATTTTATTATTCCTTCTTATTCTCCTCCTGTGCGACATCTTTCGTGACCAATCGATAGTTTTGTGCCATTACGTATCCTAAATTTTTCAACGAAAGAATAAGGACGATTCATATACATTAATAATAACAACTTTTATTTTCATTCATATATTTTTCTTTTTCTTTTCTTTTATTTTATTTTATTTTCGCATCGAGTGTTGCAACGAAACAACAAAATTTCGTACGAAATTTCATTTCGAAAGATTCACCCCTCGCGATTAATAAAACTTTATCTCTCATACGTCATTTGTATAACATATATTTTTTTAATCGAATAAATGTATTTTGTTTTGTTTTTTTTTTTGTACTTTTTTTTATTTTGTATAAAATCAGCTTATGATAATCAAACAAATTTTGTAATAAAATGGGGAAAAGAAAATCATATTTGTCCCATGTGTGTGCGTGGAACATTATTATAAAAGGGACGGGTAAAAGTCTCCTAACATTTAATCGATGCCTTTCTCTCTCTCTCTCTCTCTTACTCTTTCTCTCGTCACTCGGCCGTGCAACTACGCGTTCGTGTAAAAATATCCATATAAACTTGTTGTTTGTTCGTGTGCTTGTGTGCATAATTGCAGAGAGAATATCTCGGCTTCGGTTGTTCTCATCGGTGGTACAGTTAGAAATTCTTATAACTATATATACATATATATATATACATATATATATACATATATATATATATATATTTCTATATACATATACATATATATTATATATGTATAGTTATATAAAATAAGTACATAGAAAATATATATATATACATATATATATACATATACATAAATGCACATGATATGTCTGTTGTATCTATATGTACATCCGTCATGTTTAGTCTAGATGGCCTGATTTCGGGCTGACCTTATTATTTGCTCTCATCGATTTAAATAAGTGTCAGTGTGTCGCTTGGACATGTTACGAATATACGCATACAATGCAGCTAGGAACATAATGACAACAGGAAGACCGAGTCCGATCGAAATGATTAGGATTACTAAATAGGATAACTGCTCGTCCGGTGGTGTCCCATATCCAATGATGAATGTCCTACAACGATAACAATTATTAACTTCAATGTTTTTTTCTTTTTCTTTTTCTTTTTTAATAAATCTATTAATTTGTACAAATTTCGTGTGTATAATCTTACCAGGTCGTGTAATTGGTACTCTTATAAAATCCATCATCCTTTGATCCAAATGAGATCAAGATTGTTTGCACCAAAACATCTTTAACATCCTGACCGTAATAACCATAAAGCATAGAATTCTTAATAGCAGCAACACGATCGTTTACTTTAAATGGTGGATATTGTACAATTTCTGTCGAACTACTTATACTTCGTGATGTAGATAAATAAGAAACTGGTCTCCATTGCAAATATGCACAATTCTGTTGCGTTTCGTTACTTCTATTGAATCCAGGTGTTCTCACTTCTACCACCTATCAAGTCAAAATATAAATCAAATCAATTGTGTTGTATATATCCAATTGCAAATAGAATTAGTTTTGAATATATCTAATTGGTTACCTCGAATATACCCGGTGTATGTTCGTCATCGAGATTCTTTTTAGGATCAATGATCATCAGTTTATCAGGATTACCACCATCAACGATCATCAATTCAATGGCGAATCTGCTACTGCTAAAAGTTTCGTTTGTTTCTATTTTGTCGAGAATTAAATCAACCAGCATGGAATTTTCTGTGTGCAACATGTGAGGAATTGAATCCGTGTGTTCCAAGAAGTAATATCCTTTTAACTGAAAGAAAGAAAAATTATAAATACAAATAAATCGTTATATTGTTTATCCATCCATTTGATAAACGAATACGATACAAAATCCACATTTTATTTGCCATTGCAATTAACGTAATTACTTATCGAAAACGAATTATTATTTTAGAAATATCAAAATATTATTTACCGATGCTTTTATACTCCCGCGTCTGGTGATATTCGTAGTTGTATCATTGTAAAAATTAGCTTCCATGTTTAAACCGAAGGAATCACCGTTCATCGTAAATGATTTGCGAGACCAAACAAATGATTCTGATTTTAATACGTTTATATTCTTTGTATTGGCATAATTGATCACCGCCGTATTATTAACGTCATTGAATTCGATTATCTGTAAAATAAAACAAATGGAAAATATATTAATAATGAATTTCTCTAATTATTTTGTTACAAGAAATAAATATTGAAAAATAAATGAATGTGAATATAAGTGAAGGATAAAATACCAACCTTATTTATCACTATACCGATCGTGTAAATTGGATTATCCGAAAATACAATGGAATGATTTTTTTTCAATGCAAAATCTTCGCAAGTGATATTCAATGTCGTAGGAAGTGACGTAAGCGCCATTAATATCGATGGTTTACCGCCAAAATCCCAAATATAATGTAGAGTATTGTTTAATCCGTCTGCTCTCAAATACATCGTGGTCCAATTTGTATTGTTGCATTTTTCCTCGTAATGTAACTGAGAACAATGAGCTTAAATTATAACAATTTTATCGATCGTTCATAAGTTTTCTTGAATTTAAACAGAATTTATATTTCCATGTTTAAACAATAGAGAGATCGACAAGAATTCAAACATTTTTTTAGAAAGATTTTCATTCATTCGTTTTAAATATAGCAAATAATGAATCCACGTGATTATTAAATCCTTGGTCACGAACATTTCATTACAATAAATTGTTGCAAAGTGTAGATATGTATTAAAAAAAAAATAATATCGATCGCGAGAAGAAGACCTTCAACAACGTCAATGAACAAATGGCGCATTTCGTAATTCTTATGAAACACGTATTGTCTTTTTACCGCAGCTGTTTTATAAAAATAAACAATTATACATATTATTACATATCAATTATTATTGAACTTATACGCGCGTCATACGAAATATGAAATACGATGTAAAACTAATTACGAACGTACACATCGATAAATAAATCAAAGAGAGGGGATAAATGTACTTTAAGGACCAATAGAAAATGGCGAGCAGAATAAAACGCGGCCTTTCGAATTTCTTAACAAAGAACGTATCGTTTTTATTATCAAAAAGTAAAAGCATATGCATAAGAATGATCAATAATGTTAATTTGAATTTGAATTAATATAATTTGTATAAACATATTTGTGGTGACGAATTTCTTATCTGCTGGTTGGTAATTAAATTGAATGACGTAATTTAGATTAGATTAACAATTGTAATTTATAATGTTAAAGATACAACAGCATGTGTATAATATCAATTAACAAACTCGAACGATTATTAAACGTTAGCAAAAAAAGAAAGAGTAAAGGTTATGATATATCATAATTTTAAGAATAATAATTCGAACAATGGAAATTAAAAGAAACAAAAAATAAATCATCTAATGAAAAATATTAGAAATAATAACAGGGGGTCAAAGTCGCAATGAATCATATGAGAACAACCTTTGCTTCCGTGATCAAGTTTCTAAGAATGCTAAGCGACCAACGCTACCCAAATCAGGTTCCAAAGTAGCTTCATAATTTCGTACACATATATAAAACTTCGTTAGGAGAGAAATAAAATCTTTGAAATGTTACATACCGTCCTCTTAATAGGTCCAGCGAGATTCATAGAAATTATTGAAAATAATAGGAACAGATATATTAACGAAACCTGAGACATGACTTATTAATGTAAAAAACTAACAACGATACGATATGAACACAGTAAAACGTTAACAATAACAGACCAACATCAAGGCAATAAGAAACTGAGGCGAGATTACGTTTGAAGCGACGCACGATCAAATCTATTTTAACGTTTCGTTCTACAACTAATAAAGGCATCTTGCACTTTGCTAGTTTTGATAAAACAGATCCCATGGTTTAATTTATCGACCGAGATTCGATGGTAAAGTAGGTCGCGCGAGTACCCTACTTACCGACTAAGTTCAACCAAAAATTCATAACAGTTCAAGCGAATTTTGATAGATGGCGGGAGCTGTCCGATCGTCCATTTTTCTTTTTTCATTTATCACATACGAAACCGATAAAAATTAAATAAACATTTAATAATATGCGAAGTTTGTTCGCGATTTATTTTAGTTTTAAAAAATACTTGCGAATTTATAAAAAGGATATTTTAATCGAATAAAAAAATTGAATTAGTAATTATCTATAAAGTATTAAAGATTTCGTTGAATGTACACAGAGAGACAAATGTTACTCACCAAAATACTTACACACCTTTCGAAGGATCGAGTATATTCGTATATATATAAAAATGATAATATATACTACCAAAAATGAGCGTAGTTTTCTTCGATAGTTTTCACGATTAAATAACCACCACATATAAATATTTTAAACGCCGAGGGACGGAAACTCTTACCCCATTGACAGTCACAATTCGCCAACGGTGGTAGAGTTACCAATTCTCGACGCAGTACGTGTGAGGTCTACATAAAAGAAAAATAGAAAAAAAAAAGTATGGAAGAATTACATATATCCTATCGAAATATTCTCTATAGACAATTATAAAATAACTTAATCTAAGAAAAAAAAATAATAATTAAACAATATGAATTATTATTAATATAACGTAAATGAATATGAAAATAAATAGAGAAAAAGGTGGGGTAGAGGATAAATTCTTTCGAAAGATCGAGATGATGCGATGTTCAAAGACTTTCGTATGATTAATGATCTTTTTCAGGACACCCTGTAGAAGGCATGGAAAGAGAACGTGCAAAAAGAACGTTAAACGTGCAGACTGTGACCTTGACCGAAGCGTTGTCCGCGCGTGAGGCATACGCCGTGTTCGTACAGGACATGTACAGCAAACGTCCCCGACTAAAACGCACCAAGAAGAGACTAAAACGTTCCCTTCTACGACCCTACGTACATATAGACACCCATACGATTACAAATATATGTTTTCTGCAAACGTACCATTATTTGTTTAACGAACGATCAAATAATCCTTTCGCGTTTTCCATTTATTTTTGCCAAAAGAAAAAAAAAAAACAGGAAAAGAACAGAAAAATTAAGCCGAGAGAACAAAATGTATGCAACAAGTGTGGTAGGAATATTTAAAAAAAAAACAAACAATTCTTTCTCCCGCCGAATTTCGATCTACTTTTTTCTCTTTCTTTTTTGGTTTCCTCGTCAAATGGTGGGCGAAAAAAAAAAGAAAAATCAAAATTACCGACACGAAGAGTCATGGACGACAGACAACGAGTTTCTTCGCGACGATGTTCGAATGATACGAGTCAATGCCGAAGGTCGTCGCAGGAAGTCGAGATCCGCGGGAGAACGTCGGCTATCTAACGGGTGGCAAATTGTTTTAAGAATAAAGAAGAAGGAGACCGGCCTTACCTTCATTGTATTCATATGCGAGCAATAATTTCTCTCTCTTTCATTCTTTCTTTCATTCTTTCATTCTTTCATTCTTTCTTTATTTTCCTTAGTCTGTACGATCAAGGCTCTCAAGGTGAGCACTCCCGACGATACCACGAAGGGCAATCGCTTTCCTTTTTTTCTTTATCTTTGATCTAACAATGGCCTTTCTCCTTCCAGACGATCGAATCACAACCTTCGACTTTTAATACCAGATCAAACGTAAAACCAAATTTTTTCTCTTACAGTCACTTTTTGTTTCTCTCTCTCTCTCACTCTCTCTCATATAATTTTTACATTTTTGTAATTTCCTTTCCTTCGAAAATTACTTATTAAATATTGATGATAAGAATAAACAAATAGGACCACATAGAGAAAGAAAGAAAGAAAGAAAGAAAGATAGAATATAGCGAATACGTGACTAGTAGTAAGTGTTATTAATTATCGATGAAGTTTAGAGTTAAACAATTTCACGCAATTGTTGTTTTAGAAAGTCGATCAGTGAAGTTGGTTGAGAGATAAGTAAGGGTAGGGGGATTGTCTACTCTATCCATCAGACGGATGAGCCCCCAAGGTACGTACCGAATGAGAAGAGGCTCCGAAAATGGTGGGGTGGGATGGGTATCGAACACCTTATCGTTTTCTCTATTCTCGATCGACATCATCCACGTGGGGGTCTAAGACACTCAGTTCTCTTACTCTCTCTCTCTCTCTCTCTCCTCTCTCTTTCTTTCTTTTTTTCTCCCTCCCTCTTTCCTCTTTCTTTCTCTCTTGTTACGCACACGTAAAGGCTAACTCAATAATAATAATAATAATAATATATTCTTCTTTCTAATATATATCTTTGTTTTTCGAATGATATTTTCTGTTCATTCGAAATAATTGATTAACACGTATTAATTAAAAATGTCCCGGGCGTAAAATTAGTTGTTGAATTAAAAATCGTCTAAGTTATCGTCTAAGTCGTTGTCTAAGTCGTCGTTGGGTTGCGAGGACGAGCACGATTATCACCGCCTGTCTGCCGGTTCTGGAGGACTGTGGGATCCCCGACTGCAACGTAAGTCGTTTCTCCTACGAACCCGCCCGCCACCACCATAGCTGAGCAGCCACCGAACGGACGAAAAACGGACAAAGAGAGTCTTCTCGTAGCGTATAACTCGCTCGGCCAATGGGAGGACGAATCGGCACGATCACCACGGACCCTCACCGTTCTCGAACGCGCCGCGCTGTTCTTCGAGCAACCGGCTGCTGCTCTTACTCTTGCTTTTGCTTTTGCTTTTGCTGTTGTTGTTCCTGTTGTTGCTTTTACTTTTGCATTTGCTATCGTTGTTGGTGCCGGTGCTGCTGCTAAAGCCGGCCGGCCGGCCGGCTGCTTGCCTGGCTGTCTGTCTGTCTGTCTGTCTGTCTGTTCGTCGTCAAGCAATTTTCTTGCTGATACACTTGCTTAACCGATACATCACCTATTGTCTTCCCAAATTGATCCTTTTTATACTCTATGAAATCGTTACTTAAATCATTCAATACAATTGTAATTTTCTTCTTCTTATTCTTCTTTATTTGTTACTTTCATTTATATTTGTCGTAATATTTATTTTGTTTTTTGTTTTTTGTTGGATAGTTCTAGTTTGAAAACTAGATTCCTAAAAATTTCGTTCATTCTTATCGATAACTTGTCTTCTACTACTTTCTCTATCTTACAACATTATTGGAATTCTCTTGTCGTCTAGTGTGGGTATCACTTATATTACCTGAATACTTTAATATTCTTGCTCTACTGATATTATCTATTGTCTTGTAAATCTTCTTTTTTCTCTTATGACAAAAAAAAGAACTTTTTTTTCGATACAGATGTTATTCATAGTTAATTATACAATGATTCTCAATTTATTCTTATATTTTTGTTTTTTATTCGATAAAACGAGATTGCATAAATGGTTCATGATAATTATAAAAAAAACATTTGAATATTAATTCGTGGAATGTCTTTCTGTTATAAAATTCAGACGCAACCCCTGTAATAATAATAATGATTTAATAGCATTAATCCAGTTTCCAATCAGTATTCTATCATTTAAAGAAAAAGCAGCAAGTGACCTTATCGTCGTAATAACGTAATGTAACGTAACGTAACGTAAGGTAAAGAATTACCTTTTGAAATTCCTTGTTACGGTTAGAGCAGATAGTTCTGCAACGTAGTCAGACATGAAAATCATGGATCACGAGAAAACCAGTCGATGGTATGCGGGGAGAGAACAGCTTTGGCTCGAAGGTAAAAGCTGAGATTCAACGATAGACTCCAAACGCGATTCGCTCCGATAGACATTCGTACTCATTACCGAGGCCCATGAGGCCCCATAAGAGGCTTAGCAGCAGTCCGAGTTATTCGTTGTAGCAGGTGGCGTCTAGAAACACCCAACAGACCTCAGCAATCTATTCGACTCGAATCTTTTTACATCATTTTATTATTTCAGTCATCAAAGAAAAGAAAAAAAAAGAATTAATTGTAACGTTGTATGTGTTATAAATAAATAAATAAAAATAGGAATGCACTCTAGCAATGAAAATTTATTCTGGAAGAGAGAATCGTTAAGAAAACAAAAAAAAAAAGAAGAAGAAAAATTGATGCAATATTCCTCTCGTAAAGGAAAAATGTATGGGGTGATGCGAATGCACCAACCGATGCAACCGATGCAGTTGGACAGGGGACTGCGACACGTACGAGAAGATAGAGAGAAGAGAGAGAGAGAGAGAGAGAGAGGAGGGAAAGGAGTTTGATAGTAAGAGAGACGATCACACGACACCGCAGAACCGGTTCCATAGGGGTTTCGCGTAGTGACGGGATTTCGATTCGGTTCATTGCAAGTTTTCAATCAAGTCTCTTCGACTCTTGGAAAATTCTTCCTTCTATATTTAAGTAAAATTAATCCAATGATTCTATAATCCCCCTTTTTTTTTATTCTATAACACACACAAACACATTAGTATTATAAATAATCTTGTAGTAAGAAAATTCGAAAAAAAATCGATCTATGCGTTTGATAGAGATCCAACCAAAATTCGGATACAAAGTTTTGATAATTGAATATTTGTTTGTAAAAAAGAAGAATCAAATAGTATATATCATTTAGATTATAATTCATTTATATATAAGTTAAAAAAATAAGAAGAACTAATCATAATGATTGAATATATTTGAAAAATTTTGGTTACTATGAAAAAGTGTGGACAGTACACGGTCCAATCCGTTTTTCTTGAGAGGTGTCTTGCTTCGATGCACCATCTACTTACTTACCTACCTACCTACCTACCTACCAACCCACCTACCCACCAACCTACCTTCCAACCTACCTGCTTGCCCATTTGCCTTCTCGTTTGCTCTCTCTCTCTCTCTCTCTCTTTCTTTTGCTTACTTCTTGGTTGCTTGCTTACTTGGCTGTCTGCTTGCTTGCTTGCTTGCTTGCTTGCTTGCTTGCTTGCCTGCCTACCTGGCTGAGTTTTACCCGCTCTCACCCGTTTGTACCCACCTATCAACTAGCTTGCTTGCCTACCTTCGCGGTCGATTGCCCTGCGAGGATTCCAACTCGCGGAATTCCTCAAGTCGCACATCTTTCTGCATCCTCCTGTTGCATATCGCAAACCATTTCGAATATTTTACACATTACAATTTACAATTATTATATTTAACCCTTTTTTTTTTATTTTTTCTTTCAAATCAATTACTTTTTTAATTAGATTCAAATCCCGAATTTCTATCATACATTTGGCAAACATTTGTTGTAATATTTTATTAATATTAAAGGGCTACATTTTTTTTTCTACAAATATTATTTAGTATATATTCGAGAGAATACTTGAAAATACGTAGATAAAATTTTCTATCGAAATGTTACTCTGATGTAAAGTAATTAACGAACTTTCATCATAGGGGTACAAAAAAGAACAAGAAAAAAAGAAAATAAAATAGTTGAAATAAATCAGCAATTTGAAATTCCCTTTCGATTAGAAGCTACGTCGATAAAAAGAGATAAAGATAGAGATAAATAATTCACGTTCTATAATAATATTCGCATTTTCCGTTGATACAGAGCCCTGTTACACCTTCATAAAAGTGCATATACGCATTAATAACGCGAATTGTGAAAGTACAAATTGACTTTAATGCATCTCGGTGGTGTGTTCTGCATTAAGGTCGTCGTATGAATATATATAAAGACTAGCTTAGGTTGCTAGCTTGCTGCTAGCTTAACGTTGCAAGAGGATCGGCGGAACAGCCTTCTTCGACCCCGGCACTGACCTTGAACGCGAGACTCGAATGGTCTCCCTACTCGTCGTAGACAGGAATCGAAGTCAGCCGGATCGAATCGTTCCTTGTTCTTCTCTCTTTCTCTTATAACATTCAACGTGTGTGTGTGTGTGTGTGTGTGGATGCTGCACTTTCGTTTCTTAACAACTGTTACCATAGTTGGAGGAGAAATTAAAATTAATAAGGAAAATTCGCGAATGAGCAGAAAAATTCATCATATTTTTTCAAATATAATTTAACAAGAAGAAATAATAATAATAATAATCTCTGATGATTTATTCGATCGATCATTATTAAAAAAATACAAAATAAAAAACAATGAAGATGAGAAAGGATTAGTGGTTTCCATAGGAAAGTTGTAAACGTACTATAGATTATTATAATGATTCTGAACCGTGCTGTACACTACACATGTTGTCACAAGTAAGAACGATAGCAACAATTTCTGTTACCTGATGGAAAGTTGGCCTACGTTACCCGTACCGTAGGAATTTAAAGGGGGATATAAGTATAAGAACGCGGAGACGGGGAGTCGTTCGCGGTAGTGTCAAGCATAAACGCACCGGCACCACACCCAGTGTGCCCACCATTGCGAAACAAGACACGACCATGCGCGTCGCGGTGATCGTGAGTACCTGTAATATCGTTATATTATTATTTATTATCCATTTTGTTTTCTTCTTTACACATTTGAAAGAAGAAGAAGGAACAACAACGACAACAAAATTGTCAATTCAAAAATGGGGCTGTCCGTTTGTTAATTTTAATTGTCTTTTGGTGTCCCCCATTCGATAGGATGCTTTTCGCCATCTTGGATTTTTTGTTTTTCTTTTCTTTAGGGATGTTTTTTCTACCCAATCTTTCCCCCCTTTTTGGGTTAATATTGTTCTTCATAATCGGTGCACCATACGTTCCCAAAGATATTCCTAAAACTCTCGGAGGAAAAATCTAAGCCAGAATTATGTGAATATTTATATGGACATTGTGTTTTTATTAAGGTTTGATTGATTTGTGAAAAATTTATGTTATGTCTCTTTTTTAATATTTTAACAAAGGATACCCCTTTTTGTCTTTTTCATATTTCAAACTCTGACTCGTTTAACGAACAAGTGGAGCCCTCTCTTCGACCCTTTCGTCCTACCACAACCCTACTCGACTAATTCAAATATTCGTACAATTTTTATAATAATTTTTACCCTAATTTGTTTTGTTCAACCTGTATACGTTAGTTCTTCTTTTTTAATTCTGCAACGAGAGAAATCTCAGGTTTTATTCTTTTTAGATTCTATAACTTGGATGATAATCTGTGTTGGTTTTATGATTTATTAGTTTGTGAACATATTTAAATACAAATATGACGTCTTATGGTTCCGCCATTTTATATGGTCACGTTACGTAACGGTAGATCAAATTACTTGCATGATATATAAAGTTCTAACAAGAATTAAAAAGCATAGATTTATAAGAAAATTATATAATTAATTATAAATTATTCTATTATAATTTAACATATAAAAAAAATTAACTGGACATGAATAAAAAAAAAAAATCGTAAGAAAATCAGCCAATAAGAAATGTAATACATGATCGAATACTTTCGGCCAATAGGTGAACGAAAATTTATGAATGCCGAAGTGAAAGTGTTCGTTTAAGAAAGTCGTTAAGAGAATATATATTTCTTTTTTTTTTTTTTTTTGTAATTATTAATATTATTACAAATACTGTACAAACGTAATTGGAACGTTATGGAAAATACGGAAATTGATTACAAAAAATTCTTCGTTTCGCGATTGTTATTATTGTTATAAGAGAAATTTAGCAACTTATGTTCGCCGTTTTGATGTAATAGTACGTGACTTAAATTCGAAGAACCGATTATCTCTTTTAACGAAACTGAACAAAACCTTTCTCTCCACTTAATTTTCCACGCTTCCCTCGTCGAGCTCTATTTATCGGTTCTACTAACATAAATCACAATGCGTATACTTTCTTCATTTTCATCATCATTTAACATTCGTAACGTGAATTTATCTTTTCTAAAGATAAACCTACGTGTTTATAATTATTTATTTGTTAAATCAATAACTAAAATTAAATTTCGATATTCGTCAATTTTACTCGAGGAGAAAAAATAATAAAAAGAAAAATTAAATATTAAATTTCTCTTTGAATTTATCAAACGAATTCGTTAGATATTAGGTATTGATATAATAAATATTTAAGTATAAATTATATTCAAAGCTATATTGCATATTTTTATTAATCTAACGTGTGTTGTGATTATATAAAACAATCATTTATATGTGCACAAATGTTTGATTATATTTAATTATCAACAACAACAAAATAACCTTGCAATGAGCATAATCGATGAGATAAGAATAACTTAAAAGTAAGATTGGGTATTCAGTAGTTATACGAGAAAGTATAATGTAACAAATGTGAGAAATAAACAGTATCAGGAAAGAAAAGAGAAAGTTATTCGATTGGTGGGCCAGAAACATTAATGTTGTCATGTAACAGACAGACACAACATATGCGTGTGTCGCGTGCATTCTCTTTTATACACACGGTTATAGGCATTACCGTTTTAATCGACTGACATTTAAGTCGATCGTACAAACGCGTAAAATACTTTCGAACTTCCCGTATAAAACAAGATTAGGGGGGAGAAAACTCGTTGAGATAGAGAGGAATCAAACGGGAAAAGTTTTCGAGTAGAAAAATCAACTGCAACGCGTGGGGGAGGGGAAAAAATTACGAATAAAAAATATAAAAGTTTTCTATAAAAGTACGAATAGATATATTACAATACTTAAGAATATTTTTCTTTATATTTAATTAGTATATCGCGTGTGTGTGTGTGTGCAAGAGTTAACGCATACCGCAAATTAGATTAAATCGTAATTGAATTTTACCTTCTAATGGTTAGAAATTAATTACTGAAAAAAACTAAAAACAGATAAATGGAAGAAGAAGGATGAGGTGGTGTAGATAAACACACAAATATTCATTTAATTAATTATAATTTTCATTTAGTTATTGGCGTGCGTCGTTGGACTCTCTACGACACAATTTACGGATGGAGGAGTTGGTGGTAACCCGCAAAGAGGCCAATTTCCACCTGCAGCTATTCGATCTGCTCGATATCAGAGGTTACCGATAGCACGACCAAGTGCACCTTCGCAATCAGTATTTGTTAATCAACGATTACGTCGTCCAATTGCGTTCAGGTATATTTTAATCTTCATTTTTATCAATACGTTTAACAAATTTTTTTACATCGCATTCTTTGCCATTTTATGAACCTTTGCAGATTGATTTATAACTCGAAAAGGTATTCTACGCGTAAACAAAAGAGTGTACTTTAATTTAATATAAAAATCATTAAAATCCGCTTGCTATAAATATAAAAAATATTTGCTGAAACTTTTCAAAGAAATTTGCAACGATGCACAATTTACAGCATTGCATTCTCTGAGATTTTATGAAGTTTACATGCTAAATTTATAACTCGATATGGTATTCTACGCGTAGACAAAAGAATGTACTTTAATTTAATATAAGTTTCATTAAAATTTATTCACTTTTAATATAAAAAATATTAAAAGTATATTCACGCGGGAACAAATCGTAGTTTAATGTTAACTTGTAGAAAATGTATTGTTAAGTCAAAAATACTAGGTGCTATTTAAAAAAAATAAAGGTAGCCTTAAAAAAACAATAAAAAAGAAATTTTTTTACGATCATTTTTTTATTGCCATGTATAGTCAATTAAAAACAAATCAACTTTGTTTTAAAGTATTTTTTTGTCAGATTATCGCAAATACTTGAAACATTGTGACTAGAGTTATTTGGTACACTCTGTATAATATATTGATATAAATAACTGAAAGATAAAACAATTTATTAATTATAATTAATTGTATATATATATCTTCAGATCAAGAGGAGGTGAGGATGGTCAAACAACAGCATCATTTGCAGCAGTGAGACTCAGTAAACCAGGGGTACCAGCAACCGCATCATCACCGAATTATCCTCAGCAGATAAAACCAGTAAAAGAAGATAGCGAAGAAGATGAACGTTCGCGTGAAGGATTCCGTGATCATCATGAACGCGAGGAAGATCGTAGCTTTGAACCTGACGAGGATGAGGAAGAAATTAGCGAGGAAAATGTTTCAAGATCGATCGGTAATACAGGTTCGAATGATTCGCAAAGACAATCAAGTGGACCATCGGCAACGCAACAACAACAACAATCGTCTGGTCCAGGACAATATCGTTCTTCTTATCAAACTGCATCTGTTCCGGTATCATCGACTGGTAGAGGAAGTGCATTAGCTCAACAAGCACCTTCTGTTCAATATAGGACAACACCAAAACCAACGAAACCTAGAAAACAACCGATCGTTGATGAATCACCATTTAAGGAACAAATAAGAGGTTCTCCACCTAAACCTTCTAAACCTACACAGATTTATGATAATCGTGGAAAGAAACCTGTAGCACAGGTGAGTTTTAATGATTGAACAGATATAATGACGAATGAATTGTTCTTTAAATTAATTGTATATTATTGTTTTTTTATATACAGATAATAAGAAGATATCGTAATGACAATTCCGATGGTTCGATCACCTGGGGTTTCGAGAACGATGACGGTTCATACAAGGAAGAAATTATTGGTACAGATTGCATAACTCGTGGCAAATATGGATACGTTGATCCGGATGGTCTTAGACGTGAATATACTTATGAGACTGGAATTAAATGCGACGAGGAACAAAAGGAGGAAGAAGAAGAAAATGGATTCGTTGATTATCAAGAAAACAAATTAGTTTTACCCGATGGTAAAACCATTGATCTTTCGAGTATGGGTAAAAAACAATCACGTCGTCCACGACCTACTTACGGACACTAATAATACAGATTATTATTATAATCCACGTTTATTTAGGTCATAGTAAGAAAAGCTAACGGAGAAAGAGAGACATACACATTTGAAAAGTTCAATCCAATATTTCTAGAAATAGAAAGACTTTTAAATACTTAATCAATTTCTTAAGAACACCATTATATATACACTATCGACATAGTTCTTACGAAAATTCCATGTTCTGATTCTAGAAATAATTTGTTCTATATATTCTTATATACATTTACATTGCAAGCACATAAAATTGTAGAAGGAAAAGTTGTAGGAGAAATTGTGGTAGGAAAAAGAAAAAAAACGTGAAATACGCGTAGTTAATATTTATCATTTTTTTTTTTTGTGTAGATTCAAGAAAGTTAGATCATCTGCTTTCGATTTTTATTTTTATCAATCCCACGTTCCCGACCTTTCCCCAAACTCTGCCATGCACGCATTCACGTCGGCGAATGATTAATAAATTAGTTATTTAGTTTGATATATCTACGAGGTGTATATTTATACATATTGATGTACCTGTATATCGAGTCGATCGAATAAAAAATAATAAAAATATCATTTACAACATGGACATTGTATATGCGACACAGTTCGCAATATTCGTGTCACACTTTGTGAACAGTTTTAATAATTTACTCGTAACGATTATATATATATATATTATATTATATTATATTATATATTATTATTATTGGGATTATTTGGTCAACGTATTGTTTTAATATTATTTTAATACGATTCTTAACACACGTAAATACTTATTACAAAGCGTTGGTCTTGTCTATTGACAAAAAGAAAAATAAAAAACGAGATATGTTATTTAGAATAATGCATGTTTTTGATGAATCCAAACGATGACTCATCGAGATTCCATTCCGATATAATGCATCGTGAAGCAACATTCAATTAATGGTTGACCTCATAAGTTTAACATTTAACGATACGCGAAACTAATGTGCAATATACTGAGTGAGATAAAAGTTTCTGTTCCTTCAGAATAATTCGATACAAATTACACATCACTTAATTTTTTTATATAATTATATATTTGCATTGGTTCATAGAAATTGTTCAAATTTGTATTTAATACAATTCCCATAGTAAACCCCTCCCATCAAAATCTATACTATTAATATCAATTGTTCGTACAACTATATTATAAATCAAGTTTGACTTGTATAAATGAATCTCTGAATAAAGAAACTTTTATCTCTCTTAATCTTTATATTTTT